ATAGATTGAATGGATCCAAAAGATGCATATGAAAATTGATAAAAAAATAAATTATTTATATTATGTCAAAAATGAAGTATTATGACCTTATTTGTGACAATGCATATTTTTTTGTATAATATAAATATATAATTGTGACGTTGACATACATCACACATATTATGAATTTAACTGTGATTAATTAATTATAGCAAATACATCATGCTGATAATTCATGTTGCTGCTAATAAATCAGTTGTAATAAACAAAACGCTGTGCTTGTTGCATGCATGATACAATGTAAGTAGGCTTTAAAAACTAATTAATTATCTTGTTCATTTGTTGTTCTCAATTCATTACAAGCACCGATCTTGCATCGCAGTGACATTATAATTGTATAGAAAAAGTTATTCGAATTAAAAATTGTAATGTCCATTCTATTTAAATTAATTAGTTAAAATCTGTAATAGTGATATTATACAATTTTTCTGATAATTTATATAAAAAAAATAGTAAAAATATCAATTATATATTGATTTATATAAATTATTAAAATCAACAATTAATGCTAATAATTAAATGAATTTGTTTCTAATTATTTCATCTAATAGTTGTTTCCATTTCTTTTTTCTTAATTATATGAATTGTTTAAAAGATGACTAAAGTCCTTGAAGTAAATGGAAAATTATTTATTTTATTTTTTTTAATATCAACTAAATATGATGCATGTTATTAGATTGTTATAATTAAATGCAGTAACAATTATTTCATTATTTTAAACATTAATAACAAATTTTTTAATAAGTAATGAAATTTTTTATATCTTCATATTAATTCCATTAAGATTTTGTTTGTCTTTACTATAAATAAATTTTATATAGTCTAATAAGATTCAGATTACGAGTGTTGTAAGCTACACATTCTATATGTACGACAACGACAATATTATCATCAAGAGTTATCTAGAATAAGTTATGTAAATCCCAATTGGATGACTCAATTAAATTTGATTAATTGTTTTTGTGACTAGATGTGCGTGTGTATCTCACCTACGTTGAGATTATACAGAAGGTTAAGCAACAACGAAAATACATAATTTAAATATAGTTAAAGTTTATATTTTAAACAATATTAAGAAATATTCGTAAATTTAAGTCATTGCACATTAAGCAATATTTAAAAAACATAAATTAAAGTCATTTTTTATAAATAATAAATTTAATTGTTTTTGCAACATTTAAGAAGTTAATAAAAGCAATTATTCGTGAATTGGATATTTCTCATAAACTTTGATGAAATATTTTGCAACATAATTTTCAAGTTGAATAATTTCGTTTTGAAATTCAATTATATTTGAATTAGATACATTTCAAAGTCTTGATGAAATATATACATAAATTGCAGCTATTATATCAAAAAAAAAAAAAGTTTTGAACCAATTATTTTTCTTAAATTTACGAAATTGAACAGGTTTTGATGAATTTATAACAATTTGCACTGTGTGTATTGGAATTTAGAAAATGTACTGAAGCTAATGATGTATTGTGTTGGAATATTATTACTATTGCATATGTTTGAAAGAAGTTGATGAAATATTGAAGCATAGATTGTGGAGAATGCCCGAGTCGGATTTTGATTAATTTCAATACGCGAGCTTGATAATTATGCATTGATAATAATGCAGAACACCCTGTATATCACAGACCATATATCAAAGAAAAAGAAAATATATGATATTCAAGTCGATAGCAGATCGAAAGAAGAAGGTCCATTCTTTCGTTTCTTCTCTTTTTAATCGGCGAATAATTTGGATCCAATAATTACAGCGTGCGCGACGGACGGCTTCTGCATCTACCAGAAAGAGCTGTAGCTGCTGCTGCTTTTGCTTCTACCGTTGGTGAGGAGCGAGGTGTATGTGTGTATAGTTGATCTGATAATGCCGGTTATAAATATACGGTTCGCGTGATCCTCGGACTGTAATCTCGGACTTCATTCAGGAATCCTTTTTCCAAAACCACCGGCAGTCTTCTTCAGCTACCGAACGGCTCCTGCGGCCCACACGTAATTAAATTCATTATTTTTTTTCTTCTCCTCCTCCTCCTCCTCATCCAAAGACGGGACCCGTCCGTCTTCCTCTCTCTGGCTCTCTTCCACCACCGCATGCAACTATGAATAATATGCACAGATCTCGGAAAACGATTGTGCATTAATCCTGAATCCTTCTTTACTTATATAGTTTCTTTTCCGACTAGGATTATTAATTACTCTCTTCCCAAGCCACCTTTTATTTCATTCGAAAGGGACCGCATTCCCTCCATTCGCTTAGGTCCTTTTTATCTTAATTTTTTTTTCTTATTTCAAGTAAAACCAATTGTTTCTGTTTCAGAACTTAATTGGAAGCCGTTTTAATTAATTTTCCTAATCAGCCGCTCTCGTTTCTACCAAGGAAATGACTTTGCCTTTTGCCATCTCCAGTTTTGTTGAAAAAAAAACGTATATTTAATTAATAATTACATTCCTTTTACAACAAACTTTGAGCTTTTCACACAATAACAATGAATTATTTTCCATGACAACTTCTTCATTATTTACTCAAAATAAGCTTGCACCTGCAATTTAAAATCAAATTCTGTTATAATTCGTTACCTTATATTAATTGGAAAATGATTTTTTTTATTGTATAATTATCAATTCATATTTGAACAAAACAAAATCCAAATTGATTCCAAATAAAGTGAAATTGTGCTAAATGTTTTGAAATTTGGATAAATTAAGTCAATTTTGTAAATAAACTAGATTTTAGTTCATATTGTTCAAATTAGGAAATTATCCCCTAAAACTTGTACTTATTATTTTGTATCTGAAAGAGAAAAAAAATAGGGGAAAAAACTGCAGAAAATCTACAAAATTTTGAAAAAGAGAGCGTGTGATTAAATAAAATAATCCGTTTTATGTAATTTCGCCAAATTTATTTACAAAAAAAAATAAAAAAATAATATATATATTTATAGATTTATATAAAAAATAGAGCAAATAATATAATATTTATATACAATAAATTTCTATACATATAAATATAATTATATAATATTTAATAAATACATTATTCATCGGAGGCCGTGGTTAATTCTAATTAACAATTATCATGACAATGTTTGTATGTGCTTCATCATTTTTTTTTTTGCAACGAATACATGATTTTTATTAAGCAGAGAATAAAAAAAAATTGTAATTCAATTTATGTAATTTAAATCGTGAAATAATTTGTTTTCGATATTGAAAAATGAATAAATCAATCTTATTATTAGCATTAAAGTGTAGATTTTAGTACATTTTAATATTAATAAGAAGTTGATAAAAAAATATGTTTAAATGAAGAATTTCTTACATATTCTTCGATGTGAATTATATAGAATGTTTTATAGACTTTAGTAAGTAAAATCTGCTTCAGAAACTAGGATTTCCTATGATTCATGCATACATATTCATTACATAAAATGGTCAAGGTGTAATGTTAGTTGTTGTTTTTTTTTTTTCGTTGTATTTCTAATTTCACATTGAAGAATCAGCGTATTTAAATCGCATGCAGCAGCGTTCGCAAACGTTTCCATAGATTACGAAACAACGCTCAGCCGGAAGTCGATTAATTGCATCGAACCATTGACATTCCGTCCGCGTCTGATCGATTGAAGACAATGAATATTAGTCTTTTGTTACTTGCAGTCATTTCACGATAAAAATTGATTCGATGAATTCGTAAAAACAGACCATAATGTTCTTAAGATTTCTTTCTTTTTTATTCTCTGCTTATAATAATAATAATTCTGGAAAATCCAGGTCGGTTTCGAACAAACGGAAAACAACAACATCAACAAAAAAATATATGTACTAAGTATAATAATAAGGTGAGATACAAATGAAGGCGGGAACGGGGGGGTTATAGGATTAACATATTTATTGTAAATCACAGAAAAATAAATAGTGAAGGATTATAAGGATAAATTAAAATAAAAGTAGCAAATGGTATTTACATATTATTTTGCGCGTTAATTGATTGGTTTTTTGTTCGTGGAGTGTGGATAGAGAAAGAGATTGTTTTCATGTGCGTGTGGGAGGCAACAACAGCAGCGGCGGCGGTGGCAGCAGCAGCAGCAACAACAGGTATTCATCATAATAAAGTTATTTTAATTAATTTATGCCAATTAAGAGGAACAACAATCAAACACGCATTTGCAAATGTCGGACGGATTTGCATAATGGACGGAAGTCTCGGATATTTTGCGCAGAAATTGTGGATGATAGTGGCAATAGAAAAAAACAAATAAACAACAACAACAACAACAAAATGGCCGGTAGCGTCGGCGCGTCTCTGGACCATTCCTCAACCCTGTTTCCTGTTTTTGGGCTTACCTGTGTGCAGGAAGAGGTGGTTCTTGAGGTTGGTGTGCTTGGAGAACCCTCGGGAACATATGTGACACTTGAAGGGCCACGATCCTGAATGGACGTACATGTGAGACCTCAGATCCCCGGGAGTCGGGAAGGATTTGCTGCACAGGTTACACTTATGCGGCTTATCCTGAAAATAACAACAACAAAAAAAAAATTAGCTACAGCATTAGCTAAAACGTAGACGCATTTTTCCCAACGATTCAATTCAGTGGGCGAGAGAGAGGAGTGACGGATTTATGAACCCTTTTCTAAGTAAGCGCGAACGGAGAAGAAGGGACCCGCTGAACCTTGAAGCGCCTTCGAAGCCAACTTTCTCACGACCCTTGCAGCCACCGAACCGTTTCCCCCCCTAGTGCCCCACATAATCAAGATACAAACTGATACACCGCGTATGGGGAGAGAGAGAGACCAATTACCAAGACAATGAGCATTAATTATATCCACAAGAGACCAAGAAAACGGTATTATGCCATCTTCTGTCCCGTACAAAAACCAAACCGAAATCGCTGTTATTTCATCTTTTCTTTTCCGAAATGGGCGTGACGGAGAGTCAAAATATTTTCAGATCGTTACGTAACGACCATCTGGACGGATGTGCGATATTAAAACGCAATTTTGCGCAGAGCTCTCTGCTCGTCCATGTGTCCGTGTCTTACATTGGTATTGGCACGTCTGCGGTGACACGTGATGGACAAGCTACAAGAAACTGGATGGAAAACGCGATTGATCTCCGCTGATATTATACAACCATCAGGAGAAATAACTAATAATTCACTTCGAACATTATCTAAAATCACCTCTTTTTTTTGTTTGTTTGTTTGTTCGTATTCTACGGCTCTCCGGCTTCTGCTGCGAGCGATCGATATAGATGGGAAAGCGAAAGAGAAGGACGGAAGACTGTAAATGGTTGCAACAATAATAAATACATTAGGCATACGACTGCGGCCGCAGGAAACGAGAATATAAGCGCAGGATGTTTGACGTGAAAGCTTTTTGAAATTCACCCTGGAAGATCTTCAGTTTCTATACGTTTTTTTTTTTTTTTGGTTTACTACTAACTCTACCATTTATATCTACTGATTTTCAAACAAAGTTTAAGACATTCATTCAAACAAAAATTGAAAAAACCATTTAAAATACTCAATTAATTCTCTAAATTAATTTAATAAATATATAAATATTAATTATATAACTTTTGTAATTTATTTGTAATAATTCGTCGCTTGATCTATCGTTGATGTCTCTTGGCAAATAACCAAATTATAAGTTTATCTTCTAATTAGTTCAATTGTAATTCTTTCTTAATTCTTGAGTTAATTAAGACAAGTATATTTGGTTTTTCTAAATTAATAGCATAAGGGCGTTATTTTCATATGAGTGGGCGGATTAGGGTGAAGTGAAAAAAAAAAAGAATACAAACACTACTTTTTTCTTGTACTTTCGTGAACACGCCCATTGTTCGGTTATGTTTTTTTTTTCCTTGTTCTTGTATTCTTTCGTCCTTTTTTTTTCATGTGTGTAATTGATAAGTTATAATGTATGTGTGATCGATATCAAAAGAAGAACGGGCGTCTTGGAAGGACCGGAAGTCGTGGCACCTGTTGCAGGGAGAAACGACTTTCTGCCTTTCCCACACACTCGCACACAGCCAGACAACACATACACAATAAACGGACTGAAGAATATGGCGCGTTTCTTACTTTGCCCCAACGACAAACCGAAGGAACGAGACAATTACAATTATCCTACATGCTGTAACGAACAAACAAAATTCATCGTAATTGCTGCCCGACGACGAAATAAAAATAAAAAAGAGAGAAGAAGAAAATAAACGCAGCGAGCAAAATGAGAAGCGAAGGAAAAATATATAGGAGGAACACATATTAATTACATTAATTGCGTATAATTTTGCACACGCGTTCCATTGACTCAATAACAGAATCGTAAAAACGAGATGCATATTGATTTTCGCTTCGTGTATGCGTTTCAATCGAGGATGAAAATTTGATGCTTAAAATGAAACGGTAAGGATTATAATAATAATAAAAAGGATGATGCGAGGAGGAACAAACAAAAATTAGTTCCATCCTCATCGCTCGCTTGTGAATGAACGTGGGGACGTTAATTTGACCTGCAGATAGATCGTTGTAGCCCCACAATGCGGAGATCGGATCAGGTGGCTGAGACCATTAATGGCCCTTACGAGGTGAAAATTAGGGTGGAAGTACAGACCGAACAATGCGAATGGGCTTTTCGGAATCTTTACGGCGGTTTCCACACACAACAAAATCGGAAATTACACTTAATTCAGCATAGTTCACAAATCATCATCAATTATAGATCGACACAACAAAAAAAATATCTTTAATAATACCGAAAATTTCTTATTTTTTTTAATACTTTTTACAATTACTTTACACCTTGAAATCATATAATCATAAACCATGAATTATATATTCATTAATTGTTAACTCAGTCAATCAAATATATTCTAATAGCATCTAAGTACTAATTATTAGCAATTAACATAATTAATAATTATTCAGTGTTCAAAATTAATAATAATAATTTAATGATTACGCATATTTTTAAATTTATATTATTATATATTTTTTTGCAATTTTGGGTTCGTCGTCTGTCCAATCATTAAATCAAACAAAGTTTAAGACATTCATTCAACAAAAATTGAAAAATACTATTTAAAATACTCAATTAATTCTCTAAATTAATTTAATAAAGAATATATATATATTAATTCTATATCTTTTGTAATGTATTTCTTTAAAACATACATTTATAATTCGTCGGGTTCGTCGCTTGATCTATCGTTGATATCTCTAGGCAAATAAACCCGTTGTAACCAAATTATAAGTTTATCTTCTAATTAGTTCAATTGTTTCTCATAAATCTTGCATTTATATAGGTAAATCAACAACAACATATGTTGTACGTGTGTTCGCAATTTTTTTCTCTCTCTAAGGTAACGAGTTTTTACGGCAATTAATTAAGATCAAATTGTTGTTTTAATTGAGAGCCAAGAGTCCGCCACAAACAAAAAAATAATAATGTATTGAAACACACGGCGCATTTGTCCGAAGCACAACAGAAAATATTCAAATTAATTGAGCAATATAAATAAGTTGACGCGTTAATTGCAGCATATAAGTAATCATAACGTGCGATAAATAGCAACAAGAAAAGGAATAAAGTGGGGAAAAACACACACACAAAACGGTGTTTATTTTTTTGTTTGTTAATTTTTATTGAATTAGCCTTTAGAAATTATTCGACTTTAAATCGAATTTATTCTATAATAACTCGCATTCGTTTTACCTTTATCGACTGTAGTAGTGTTCAATGCCTACTGAATTTAATTGGGCGCATAAAGTCAGCTTCTTACGTCTTCTAGCGTTAAAGTCTCCATATATACACCGATTCAATTATAATTTTGTGATAATTCTTATTTTATTTACTTAAATTATATAATTATAAAAAAGCTCACGTTGTTTTTACTATAGTATTTTACAGTATAATGGACATAAATTATTTCAAATAAAGTTTTCAGTTCTTGCCATATTTCTTGTTTATTTCCATGAGGATGTAAGGAAACGCCCTTATTCTATTCGAAGCGGCTGATAAAAACCCTTGACGTTTTAATAGCTTGAATAAATAAATAAAAAAATGGGGTGGAAAATCAAGGAAGCCAACTGTTTCTTCCCCTCTCCTTATAAATTTTGTTGTTTTTTTTTTAACATGCACATATTTTACGGCGCTGATCCTTCCACTTGATTCCGGACCCTAATCAAAACAACAAAAAAAAAACGTGCTTTCTTAAGATTACAAAGTGGCATAAAGCACCTTGCAGTCTGTAGGTAGCAGGTGCTCCTCTCTCACGAGGAAGGAGGGTAGTTCTCTATACACCATGTGTTACGTCTCTATATCTCATACGACTCCCCCCTTTCCTTTATTATGTATACTGTCGTTCTTCCTCTTGTATACGCATTCACATCATTTCTTCTACGACTTCGTCGTATTAGTAGTGATTAGTGTAAACACAATACTTAATGCCCTTTTTCCGCCCTCCACTCGACATCGACCACAACATGTGCGAGATTTATGTCCCGGATGACAGCGGAATCAAAGATAAATATTAATACCGAGACGGATACAACGAGGACCCAGAGATTTACTTGTCAAAATTTTAATTCCTACCTGGACACATGGATCAACCAACAAAAAAAAAATTGATTGAAATTTCTTTGAATTAAGACTCCTACCATATTTAATAACGATTTTTTCCGATTATAATAGATTAAAGTTTTTTTTTTATAATTGAAATAAAATTTAATATTTCATCATCATAAAACAATACTAATATAATCGAAAAATCATTAATATTAAAATTGTTCATTTTACAGAGAATTTCAAGTTTTTCTCTACATATTTTAAAGAAAATGATTCGGGTTCGTTGTCTATTCTCGTTGAAATCTCACACAAATCTGTTGTCTTTTACATCGCTCTTAACTGATTATATAATAACAATAATTAATTTAATACAATTAAATATATATAAAATTGCGATTTTCTATAATTAATTAGAATTTTTGAATTTTTATTATTAATTTAATTTTCCATTATACATCTTTTATTATAAGAAAATTAAAAACGGACTGAAATATTGCGATTATTCGATTTTTTATGTGATTGATTCCATATAGGAAAATTAATCAAATTAAAAAAATGTGTTATGATGTTTTATATCTTGATCATTAGTATAGCCTTTCACGGTAATTCCTCTTAAAGAAGATAATACTATAAGTAAGTGAGTTTTACGGTGGGGTTTCCGGTGATGCATGGCCGAAGGACAACGTTTCGAAGGAAACAATTATCGTCGAGCGATGGAGATGTCAAAAAATTAATTTCTCGGTTTCCCAGGCGAGTGAGTGATAATAACGCAACGAACAAACAGAAAACAAAACAAAAACACAATGAATGAGTCGAGGGATGCGTTCAACTACCTGAAGAAGTAATAAGTCAGTCTTACCTTGATATGGGTCATGCGGTGGTAATAGAGATTGGAGGAGGCTGTGAACCGCTTCAAGCAGACCGGACACTGATGGGGCTTTTCGCCGCTGTGGATGCGCCTGTGGGTGTTCAATGATGACGAGGTGCTGAAGCCCTTTCCGCAAACCATGCAGACGTGGGGTTTTTCACCTGAAGCAAATGCGAGTTGTTTGTTTATGTTCTGTCTCTTTGGTTGTTTCTCGATCATGATGATGTTGATGATGATAATATTCGTTACCTGTATGCGTTCTCATGTGTCTTTTGAGGAGAGACGGCCGATCGAAGGCTTTCGTGCAGACGGAGCACGGGAGCAGAGTTCGTTCCCTCGGCCGCGCTCTCGGTGTCGGATTTGGAGTGTGGTTGTCGGGGAGGTCGCCTTGCGAGCTCGCGGCTGAGCTATCACCGGAAACGGATTTCCCTTCATCTTCGGCGCTCGGAGGAGAACCGGACAAGGCACGCGACAACAAGGACATCGATAGATCGAGCGGAGAATCTGTCGTGCAAATAAATTAAACCAATTAAACGTGTTTTCATTACATGAATATAGATATATTCTACCTTCTAGGATGGAGTCCATGGTTTGGCGGTAGAGAGAGGCGCGCATCCTGACGAAGAACAACTCCTCGGGCCGCTCCGGAAGGTAGTAGACTATGAGCTCGGTGTCCGGAGGTATAGGTTTGACGGCCTCGTAGACGGGCTCTCCTCTGACTTTGGTTGCAACCAGGTTCACCGCTGGGCTGAACGTGGGCGACACGCGCACGAATCGCACCCAATTGCAGTGACGGACCTTACGCAATCCGCTCGTTGAGATCTCATCGTAACATCCAAAGCGGTGTCGTATCTGAAGCAACAAACAACCCAAAACGACATTTCAATTAGAGAGATTAAACTTTTCACAAATTAAATTACTGTTATTACATCATATTATTATAATAAGCACTAATAGGTGTGTTAGATTATGATCATAGTCATTTACATTTAATCCCTGATTATAATATTTGCAAAGCAATCTTCAAAACGAATTAACACTATTAATTTAAAATTAAATTTGTAACGTTATATAAATAAAATATTTAGAAAAAATTATCCAATACATAATTTATGTAAAGTATAGAAAAGTAATAGAAATAAAACGGTTTCGAACAATTCGGGTTCGTCATCTGATCTATCGTTGAAGTCTCTCGGAAATATCTCCTGTTTCTCTATTTTAATAACACAAAACTATTTTTTTTTGGTCCAATCTATAAGCTAAATTGTCCAATTAGTTTTTATTAATAATTAGAATTATTAATAATTATTAATAATTTATACAAAATATAAGTTAGCGTAAACTCTTGCAAGTTGATACCGAATTGATTCCATTTGAATGTGGTCAATTTTTAGGCTGTGGGAAAGAGAATCGATCGAGGCTTGTGTAAGAAGGCCTAGAACATGTAGGTGTGGCAGGCGTACGACGGAGGCGTAATAAATTCGCGCCCGCTTAATGTAGTTATTAATTTATCGTTCCGTTCCTCATCTTGTTCTTCTCCTCCTCGTCCTTCTCCTCCTCGACTACCTCATCCACCTCATACTCTTCTTCGTGCCTTCGATGCGAGGTCGGTCGTGTTGTACGTGTGATGGCTTCGATGATAAATCGCACGAGGTGTTCCCGTGTAATTCGGGACCGCTCGCGGTGCTATTAGAGCGCGCCAAACAATCGGCCCCAACGAATAGTGCCCATCCTGGGGACGCCTCGAGGCCCTGGGCGCCGTCCTCTACACCACTGATCCACATCCATATTTTATAATACCCACATCCACTGCCACCGACCGCTTCTTCTTCTTCTGCTTCTTGTTGTTGTTGTTCTTCTCCTTCTCCGGACCCGACGTAATTTATGTCTCGGTGCATCTAATCATTTTTATAATGAATGGACCTCGCGTGAATAGTTTAATTGAAATATGCCCTTACTAACTTAAAACCATTTATTCATTCACATCCACAAAAAAGAGAACAGACGCACAAGAAAATTACAATGAAGGCTACGACCGTCAAGGGTCAATACCTTTTCCATCACAATACCACCAACAACATTTTAACTTCCATTTAATAATCTTAAGTATATTGTACAATTTCCAACCACCATCAATTATTTAAACTTAATAAATCTAAAGGAAAGTTTCATATTTGAAGAAATGTAGAAATGTTTTATTACTAATAATATAGTGAAGATCGTTAATTAAATGAAATGGATTATTACATAATTATTTAAATTTAATCAAATTTTACACTGATCACATTATTTTTTTTATAATTAAATAGTGAAGAAGTTCTTTTAATTAACTAAGTTTATTAATATTATCACCTTCAAGCTGATGTAATATTTATCTGAAATTGCTTTAAATAATGCAAAAGTGACGCAATTTGAAACAGATCTTAAGTTTTGTTCTTTGAATAAGTTTTATAAGAACTTTATTTAATAAGTATATTTAAGTGTTGAATGTGTAACAAATCGTTTCGTGTTTATCGCATTGTATACGAATTGAAGAAAATTGTATAATATCCACTGATGATTGAAAATGTATGATTTGTTTTTTGTTTTTGTTCGTTTTTAATTATTTAAACTTAATAAATCTAAAGGAAAGTTTCATATTTGAAGAAATGTATTCGCTATCAATAATTGATTGAATCTTTAAATGGAATAAAATATAAATAAATATTAGATAAAATTTAACAATAACAACAACAAAAAAAAAACTTCAATATGTTCGATTAATAACATTAATAAGCTTCGAAGCAGAAAATAGCATTAATAAGTTAGGAAGTCTGTATATGGCTTTGTTAATCAATAAACACTGCGTTTATCTCGTTTCAGTGAACGTTTCTACTCTTGAAAGCGACGTGCGTTCGAGCAAGTACAAGATATAATAGTATAATTATTGGACGTGCTCAAGTTAATTGGAAATAAGTAATTGTGAATATAGTCTGGCATAAACGGGAACGATTTCATGCTGCGTGAGAAGCAATTCTGCAATTCTGCACAGCATCGGAAACGAGGCTATGACATCGAGCTCGTTACTGGACTCGCCTTCTGATCCTCCTCTTCTTCAAACCAACGATTCTGTAACGCTATTTTCTCCCATTGCACCCTGTTTCATCGTGTCTTTGTATATTTATATGTATGTGACACGCCCGTAGGTGTCGATGTGCCTCTCTCGAAAGTGGAGAAAATATGAGAAAGTTATATCGAACGCGATTTACTGTCATAATTTGTTATTTATTAGTTTCGCACCAATAAAAGTAATTGCGTACCTCAACTGCATATATAGTTATTAAATTACATAGAAAACAAGGAAAAATCAATGTAATTTTTTTTATAATATCTTTATGGATAAAATAGCCATAACTCTTAATAAATGATCGAGTTATAAGAGCTATAGCAAAACTATGCGCTTTTTTTATATAATCATAATTTTAGATTTAATATGAAATATTTATAATATCTTAGTATTACGAGAAACTTAAAAAAAAAACAACAACAACAAATTGAAAAAAATGAAGAGATGCAAAAGAAATAATAACTATGAAACATCTTGGGTTTTCTTTTAAACTTGTTAACTTAATAGAGATTTAATAAAATACAATTTGTAAATCTCCATCTTTTACTTCGTTGATATAATTAGAATAAGTTGTATATAATTGATTGATTAAAAGTCCGTTGTTTTTTTGTTGTTGTTAAGGGTTGAAGGTGGTTAATTATTTAACTATGAAGGTGATTAAGGTTGTGTGGTGTCTGCGGGCATTTTGTCCATATGAAAATAGTTTTAAATTTTAATTTGATAAAAAGATTGATTTCGCAGTTACAAATTGCACCGTTCCGGAATGGCATTCGCGTTGTCCGGTAGCCGCGCGCGGCATCCTTCTGTCGGGACGAAGACACACAAAAGGACCGCGCGTAATGCATGCGACGAGACCATGAAAACCGTCGCTCTACACAATGCACAAAGAGAGCCGCTCTACACAACGCACACACATATATACTACACACGTATATATGTATGTATGTGCACAGTTGTATACAGACGCGCATACACCATACCCATACATACTGGTGCTTCGTCCCAGGGCATTTAAAAGACACCGAGAGAGAAGGCTAGGATCTGTAGGTGATGATGGTGGTGAAGAAGAAGCAGTTGTCCAGGAGGAGTACACTTCTTCTCCTCCATAAGGCTTTTAATGGGGATCCTTACTGTTTACCACTCGCAAACAAATGTTAATCAATAATGTTATTGCTGTTTCCATTCGCCGCCGCCGACCGTTTTCCAAAAAGGAGTGTAACGATTCCCATCTAAGATCATTGAGTTTACATTTCCAACAAAATATCTATAAAACAAATCTATCCATTTAGATAACAGCAACAGTTACATAACTTTAATATAAAGTGAAATATTTAATTATTTAAAAAATGTGTAAAATTAATTTTCTCATAATTGCAATAAACACGCAATTACTACTTACATAGTCCACTAATTTTATTATATTATTCGTTACAACAAATTAACTTTTATTACTAATAATATAGTGAAGATTGTTAATTAAATTAAATAGATTATTACATAATTATTTAAATATAATCAAATTTCATACTGATCACATTTTTTTTTTATAATTAAATAGTGAAGAAGTTCTTTTAATTAACTAAGTTTATTAATATTATCACATTCAAGCTGATGTAATATTTAGCTGAAATTGCTTTAAATAATGCAAAAGTGACGCAATTTGAAGTTTTGTTTTTGAATAAGTTTTATAAGAACTTTATTTAATAAGTATATTTAAGTGTTGAATGTGTAACAAATCGTTTCGTGTTTGTCGCATTGTATACGAATTGAAGAAAATTGTATAATATCCACTGATGATTGAAAATGTATGATTTTTTTTGTTTGTTTTTGTTCGTATTTATTGCAGTTAGCTCTCGACCAACGGAATTCCCTTCTTTTCCTCTCTTCGACTCCACATTCTACATGTGTGCTAAAATTACATGTAATCTAAATTTCAGATAGAAATGCATTTCAAATTAGAAATCCGCATATTATCCATCTCCATCTAAACTAACTATCACCGTCCCGTTCCTCCGCATTCGCTCGACCATTTCCATCTCGTCCTGTGCACATCGAATGCAAAACGCTATGCATAATCAAGCTGGAAAGCCGTGGAGCAGCCACAACCTCAGTATTTAAATTATAAATAAATTTCGATCGCAAATGTTTACAGTTTCATGGGAAAAAAAAAGAAATAAAAATCAAAACCAAGATTACGTGCGAGCACGTTCACTGTGTATGTCTTCAATTAAGATCCGATGTTTTCGCCAATATTAATTAGATGGAAACATGAAATTAATTAAAATATTTCAAATTTATGTGCGCAGATATTTGAATTTACAATTTGCGTGTTAAACTGTATTACTTTCTTCCTATTTCCATCGGATTTCGATAATTTTGTAACTCGCATTCCGATACTATTGACCAATGTTGCCGAGTACCGTTACGGACACAGGTTTTCACTGGAAATTACCTATTTATTCACTAATTAATTAAAATATTTTGACTCGGAGTTCAATTTTGGTGTAGGTTCAGGTCAAGCCCATACAGTCTTAAAACGTCTAGACGCGCAACAACCTTTAGCATGTTTCGTAACAGATTAATTTTAGTTGTGAAATAACGTCTGCTTTGAAGAGAAGAGACGAAAAACCGTTTAGAGATTGAAAGTCCAATTTGCATAATTAATGAATCCGTCGGTTTCCGAATCCACATAAATTACTCTCGGACCACTAAAGAATATCGAAAACGGTACTACTCCTTTATTTAA